AACCTCCGCCCAAAAGGAATGTAATGACTAATGGGATGTGAAACCTCCACAAAGAAAAAGCTCCTTGGGCTTCCCTATCAATAATGGTCGGCCAATCTGTGACAACTCCACAATAAAGAGTGAAATGCCAAGCCCTTTCTCTATTAAAGTAACAAGTATGCGCTCAAAATACCTCCTAAACCACAATTCACCTTGTTTTTGTACTGGAATCGTTATTACATGCCCTACTCAACTTCCTAGGTCCTGAGAGTGGACGCAGAACGCTATCTACTAGTTTACTAGAAAAACCAAGACTCAAACAACCCACTAAGCACAATTTTTGAAAACTAAAACTTTAAAATTTCAAAAAAAAAGTAACGCCAAAAACATAGGACTCATGAACGGGTTGAATACTTATTCTCTATGTCCAAATTTATCATCTAAGTTAAACCAATCCATGACAACTACGTATCTAAGTCAACTTACCTCACCTAAACTTGATAGGATCTAAAAAGTCCAATATATTGCAATCTATGAAGCACAGATAATTCAAAAGGGTCAAAGTATCGGTATCGGATACTTCCCAGATACAGATACACGTCCGATACGGCCAGATACGTATCCGATACGATTGGATACGTATCTGATACGTCTAAAAGTATTCTAGAATTAAAAAATAAATAAATTTGAATTTCAGATACTTCAAGATACGCTGGGATATGTCAGGGATGCGGCAGAGTATTACTTGATTTTTTAAAAAAGAATAAGGGCATCAGAGCAAATATGTTTGGGCCCTTATTTGAAAAAAAAAAAATTATGAATGTATGATTTCTTAATTATAGAATGGTTAGTTATTATTATATATCTTTAGTAGATGTATGATTCACTTTATAAATCATAATTATTATAATAAATATAATATAAAATTTAAAAAATATATATATTTTATGGACGTATCCAAGCCATACCCGTATCCAATTTTTTAGGTTTTTTCGTATCGCCGTATCCGTATCGTATCATATCCGTATCCGTACTTCATAAATTGCAATGTAGCTTGAGCTTCTCCACCATATCTTGTTTCAGTCTTCAATCTTAAATAGTGTCTTGACCATGAATTTAACTGAGATACAAGATACATAATCACCTCACTGTATTTGTCAATTACAATATTTTTCCTACCAAATTGAATAAATCAAAGCCATTGTTTCCCAACTTCCAAAACAACCATAAAACAAACTAAAAAAACATCTCTAAACAAAGTTCCATTTTTCTCAAAAGCCCCAACTAGAGCCATGGCCTACACAACAAATTAAAATAAAACCAAATCCAACAAGAGATTACAAAAATGTGCCAAGAGAACGATTTTTTTTTTTTTTTGAAAAAAGAAATTTATTGAATAAAATTCTGATGAATTACAAGAAATAAAGAAAGGATTAAAACCTAATCAGGCTTTAATCCTTCAAAATGGTTAGAAACAAAAAGAATTACATTTAATGCCCTCTACATCCTACCAACAGCCAAAGTCTTCTTAACCCTTAGCACAGGCAACAAATTCTGATCTTGTCGAAGAAACATCCTCCCAGCAAGTGGCAGAACTGGTTCTAGAAAAATCGGTGCAACACCCTGTCTGAACAGCATAGGAAGCCAAAAAGTCAGCTACCCCATTGGCTTCCCTGTACACATGTGAGATTCGAATATAAAATCTTGTAAAAAACCCCCAAATTTGACCCAAAATGGGAGCATACCTCCATGGCACCTCAGCTTCCTCTGCACCATTCTAACCAAAACCTGGGAATCAGACTCGATGAGAATCTGATATGCCTCTAATCCATACTGCACCACTAGCCTCAAACCATCTAACAAAGCCAAGCATTCAGCTTTCATGTTGGATCCTGGATTTTAAAAAGCAGCAGCCAGCACTACATGCCCCTCCTGATTCCTTAACGCCATGCCACCTCCAGAAAATCCACTCAAAGCCTTCGCAGCCCCATCCACATTCAACTTCAATACACCATCAGGAGGAGGATCCCACTTAACCCAAAGAGCTTTGGCCACCACAGAATAGCCAAAGCCAATCTTAAGGTCAGCAAGAAAGAGCCTCCCTTTAACACTATCTGCTGTCTTAGGCTTAACAAACAAAAGCCTGAAACTGAAGAGCACTCTTAATTTGCAGAAAAACAGCATATGAATTTAACCTGACATTCTCAAACCTTCTCCTGCACCTTTCTTTCTGCAATGCCCAATAAACTAACAAAGGCACCACCCTTACCAAGAGAACGATTAAGGTTTTTCTAAAGTTCCCCAATCCTCATGAACAAAAACCTTGTTAAAAGTAGTGACAAGGACAAACAATCATTTATTCCCTCTTTCTTCTGGAGGGAAACAAACTAAAATATTCTTAAATTGTACAAAAAGGAGGAAGAGACATCCTTAACTAAGATAGCCAATGAATAATGACGAAAGCTATGATGAAAATACTGTGAATCATGATGCATCAACACTTAGATAATTTCAATTGTTCAAGCATCATTCAAGTCCATAGTCCCTATAATAACATCACTCTGAATCTCTGACATGTTTTCACATCCATTCATTTTAAGTTATGTGCCAGATGTTCTCTTCCAAGAATCTCAGTTTTACTTTAATAGGTGTTTTACTTCTGAAATGTTACTTTATTTTTTTGATTCACATTGCTTATTATCGTCACACTTCATGAACCAATATAACACCACATACTTGCACACACAAACAATGGGTTAAGTGTAGTGCATCTCTGAAAAAAAGTACGATACCTAAAACCACTACCCATGTGAATCAACGAGCATTTAGAAATATACACCACCCCCAAAAATCTGCTATTTTGAAAAGAAAAAAAAAATAGGGTATGCCAATAGAGAACAAAAGCAAGAAAAAAAAGTAAATCTGATAAATAACAAGGAGAGGCTATACTGCATAGTCTATGCTATGGCACTAAATTAGGGGTGGTCCGGGTTGCACAACCTACGAAAAGTGTATCAACAATGTCATGTTGTGCCTATTCCCACCTCCAAGCCAGGATATCCTGGCCCAGTTGCTGCTAATTAATAAAAATAGTATAATAATGTATAAAATGTATTGGTCCAGGCCACAGAGCAAGACCTTTGGCCCAAGTCCTAGCCCGAAACAATGCTAGGACAATTTTTTATTGGCCAGCTCCTAAATTTTTCATATTGGCTAGTGAGGTTAGGTGCCCACCGAATTTATTTAAATAATAAGGTTCTGAAAAGATTCACAAGCAAACAATTCAACATGCTGGGTTTGAAAACTAATGTAACTCTGTAAGTTATCTATTATATGTGCCTATGATTTCACTACACAAATCAAAGTTCCAAGGTATAACAATTAAAAAACAAAGAAAACATATTTAGATAACACAATAACATGGAAGGAATGTCTAATTTCAATGATATTTAGCATAAACAGAGAAAGCCCAAAAGCAAAGGAATATCGGTGCTAAGAGACCTTGTATCCCCATCGAATAATTAGGACCACTAAAATTGATTTATATACTTGACGGGTCACTCCACCATTGCCAATTAATTTTGGGTTGGATTTTCTAACATGGTATTAAAACATGTTTCGATCCTGTACGAGTTTAGAAACATAGTGGTGTGCATTAGAAACAAAGTTTGAGTTCAACTAGGGCTGACATTATAATCAGAGACAATTAGGGATACCATTTATCAGTTTTCTGTGGCAAGAACATGGTATGGCTCCTTTTTTTATTTCAACGTCGTTTGATTGGCCTTTTGAATTTTCTAATATTTTTCAAAAGATGGTCAAAATTTTTGATCTGGTCTTTTCACGACTTTTCTTCTAATTTGCTGCTACCAATCATGCCTGAAGAGTCCAATTAGGTGTCTTGAATCCTCAGTTGAAGGATTTCAAGCGATTAGGTTGATTTATCATGGATTTTGTTGCCTCTGGTTCATTCGGCAGAGGACTTCTGCACTGGTGCATTGTGTTTCTGGTCTTGGTGGGTTTCCTAGATCTTTCCTTAGCTATTGTTGGTTGATTCTTCCTCGTTCTTCACTGTTCTTGCAGTTGGTGTCACCCTGTGTTAATTTACTCCCGATATGCACAGTAGCATCACCTCAAACATAGCAGGCTTATGGTATACATCTCTTACAGAATCAAGTTGTTTGCTGGGTAATTATTCCCATTGTTGGGCTTTGTTCTCATTTTTTTGTTTGGCCTTTTTCCTCTTGTTGGGCCTTAGTCCCTGCTGCCTTTTTTGTTGGGCTTTGTTAGGCAGTAAGATATGTTGGGTGTTGCTTTGGAGTATGGGCTTTGCATTGGACTATTCTCTTGCTGCCCACAGTTTACACTAGGCTTTGCTTTGGGCTATTTCCTTGCTGCCAACAGCATTTTTTTGAAGTATCATGAGCAGACAAGTGTCAACATATGCATCATTTCTCATTATCAGCTAAGTGTTCTTGGCTTTGTGGTCTCAGGTTCTCTTCTTGGATTTGTGTAATTCGGCTATTTCCTTGCATGTATTTGGACGTGTCTAGTTTGTCTTGCTTAGAGCTCTTTCTACTAAACTTTCTGTTCATTCCACTCTCTGTGTTTTTTTTTTTTGGGTTATGATAAGAGTCCAAAAGAATATCGTTGCAATTATCCTATTACACAAACTCTATGTTTCTCGTTATGTTGTTTTATAGAGTATGTTCCCTTCTTTTATATTCCATCCCGTCCTTCACATTTGTATAAATCTAATCTCATTTACATTAATCCATTTTCAGCTAATATTCCCATCTGACAATTATATTTGTGATATGATGTGACTTGTTCTGATTTAACCGTCACGAGTCCTCTTATCATGCATACCTATGTTCACTGGGTTCCTGCCGTCTCTTCAACGGATGCGATGCCTCTCCCTTCTCAGAGTTGGACCTGGGTGGTCATGGTTGTTTTGTGTTAGTGTTGACCCCACGTATGAGTCTAGGTCCCATGTAAGGAAGGGTGTTAGCAGAATTTGTATCCCATATCGAATAATTAGGTCCACCAAGGTTGATTTATATACTTGAGGGGTGACTCCACCCAATGCCATTTAGTTTTGGGTTGAATGCTCTAACAATCAAGACTTTAGATTCAAGAAGAGAATAATACAAAATACAATAAACTATATGATTTCAAATCCTTAAGGTGAATTAGAATTGCTAGGGTAGTTAAAACTTAAAACTAGAATACAAAATTATAGACCAACCTGCTCATAGTGAACATCAATTAATTCCAAAGCTTGCGTCATCTCAATCATCCCAAGTTCACCAACTGGAGAAGGTGCAGTCTTTCCACCAATAATTTTAGGAGCAACAAATGCAAACACCTGGATCAACATAACAAATGTCTGAACAAGCAAAACTGGAGCACATACTCTCAAAAACTATGCATTGCCTAGAACCTATATTTACTGAATCTTATCGAATTTATGTTCTGGCAACAGAATGAACACACACATTCAACNAAGCAAAACTGGAGCACATACTCTCAAAAACTATGCATTGCCTAGAACCTATATTTAATGAATCTTATCGAATTTATGTTCTGGCAACAGAATGAACACACACATTCAACAATGAGTTACCAAGTCAAAAATAAAAAGAAAAAGATGAACAGGGTACAATTCCAATCCAAAATAGAAAAGCTTGAGGAAAAACAAGTATGTCATGCATTCGGATATGCTATGACAGAACAATATTTTAGCTCAAGGAACATAAAAAAGAAAATTAATGGACACTATCTCATCTATCAATGAACATAGGCACACATTTAGCAAGTTGTAGCTCACGACAGAGAGCCAGGAAATATGCATAATGAAGTAGGAAAAAACAAGTGTTCTGTTAGAACATACATACTGGGAAAAATTCTGTTTGAAGCATGAAAGACATTTGAAGAGAAGCAATTGGATAAGGTATAAAAATTATTCACAATTATTTCAAATACATGGTAGAATGGGAAGAAACAAGTGTTCTAGTTTAGAATCATGAAAAAATTTGCAGAGAAGATAGATTTTTAATACGATGCCGAAGAAATCAAAATTGTAACCAGCCAACGATATCCACTTTGGATAAAATACTATAAAGGGCCTTTTTTTTCGGTAAGTATAAAGGGCCTTGATATCTAAAGTAGTGCACTCGCATTTACCCATAAAAAAAGTAACGGTATGCATTATTGATCAAGCAAAACTCAAGCACTCTTCAAAAAGAAATCAAGTTAAATTCAAATCATAAACTAGAACTGTTAGAAGATCTATAGTTTATTATTTTATCTTTATTGTTAGAATGAGACTTTAGTCTTTATGATAGGTGAACTATAAATATAAGTGACAAAGGAAGAAAACCCAAACTCTCTCTTCTCTTCTTAGTTTCTTTATTTCTTTTTTTCTTCTCATCTCTTTACATTATTTCAACATGGGATCAAAACGGGTTCCATAATTCTCAGATTCGTCTTGAAACAACACCAATTTTTTTTTTTTATCTGTCAAAAAAAATTTTTTTTTTTTTTTGGGTTTTTTGATGTCTTTCAGCCAAAAAAAAAAAAGAAAAAGTTAAAAAAAAAATCAACAACTTGGTCAACTTGATGAGTAAAATCCATTTATGTTTTTTCTGGATTTTTTTTGAAATTATTTGGTGCTTTGTTCAATTTTTTTTTTCATTTTCCAAAAAATTGTCCTATTTTTCGGATCTGCGATTTCCAGCTTTTGGAGGATTAATTGCTTGGAATAGACACTATGGGTACCGATGTACAATCCCCATGTTTTGCCCAGTGATTTGGATTTTTTTTTTTTTTGTATTTTATGGCTTTAAGAGTGGGGACAAGCATGTTTTTTTGTCTTGGGCAGTCTATTTTGTGCTCAAACAATGATGTTGCCCATTTTTTGTGATATTCATGTTTGATTAAATTCAAGTTTGAGATAATAGATAGTCGTGTGTTTTTGTTATTTTTTAATTTTTTGAACTATTCAGTGTGTATCTAGCCTTTTAAGATAAGGTAAGAATCAGAGTAACTATGTCAGAATCTAGCACGGTCTCTCATAAACAGTCAACAAGTGTTTTAAGTAAGATTGGACTTAAGACTGAAAATCCAAACCTATAGATTACAATAGTGAAGCTTGATGGGCACAATTACCTTGCCTGGTTCGCAATCGACTATGTCGTTTGTTAGGAGTAAGGAACGATAGGAGACTGAGCATTTAATGGTTATGTCCTTGCAACTACACTCTATACAACCAGAGATTAGCAATGGCTATTTGTTTCTATGTGTTGCAATGGAGATTTGGTAGGCAGTATCACAAATCTACTTGAAGATGGGCAACATGGCACCAGTTTATGAGTTGAAATGTTGGTTTCACAATACTAAGCAGAATGATTCCTCTTTGGCAGCTTATAATCATACCTTGCGGGGGTTATGGCAATAATTGGATCATTATCAACGACTTGACATGAAGTGTGCTAAAGATACCACACTACAAAAGTTGATTGAACAAGAGAGGATTATTGAGCTTCTAGTTGGCTTGAATCCTGAGTTTGATCAAATTAGGATTCAAATTTTAGGGTATGAACATCTTCCTTTCCTACGGGAGGTATATGCTTATGTTCAGTTAGAAAAGAGCAAGTTGGGGATCATACTTCATTCTATGCCCGAGGAGAGTTCAACCTTGGCTACTACTACCACTTATTAGGATATCCGGTTGGGAAGTAAGAAAGTTGAGAGAGAACATCTAAATGATGTTGCATCTGATGATAAAGGTAAGTTGAATTGTGATTATTGCCATATGTTGAGACATACTAGAGAGATTTGCTGGAAATTACATGGTCGTCGTCAGTTTGGAGGTAGAGGAGGACGATTAGGTGATAGAGAAGGATCTCGAACACATCTTACGAATGGAGTGGAGACTTCTTCACCTTGTACTGGTTTTGCTCCATCATCTGTAATAGAAACAATGGGTCTCACTAAGGAAGTGGAAAACGTAGGTAACTTTTCAATGGGTCCTTATGCCAAAGCAGAAGACACCTATCATTGCATCCACTTATTTTGCCCATGGAGCTAACTTTTCTATAGTATTGAGGACATCTTGTAATATTCATTCTTGCCCCTGGATCATTGATTCAAGTGCCTCTGACCATATGACTAGACTATCTACTTTGTTCTCATCATATAATACTTGTTCAGGAAAGCAATAGGTTAGAATTGTTGATGGTTCCTTATCATCGGTAGCTAGTAAAGGTTCTATTCCAATCACTTCATCCACATATCTCTCATCTGTTTTACATTTTCCTAATCTTTCAAACAATCTTCTTTTTGTCAGTGATATTACCAAGAGATTAAACTATAGGGTAACATTCTTTCCTTAATATTGTGTCTTTCAAGACCATGTCACAAGGAAGATGATTGGCAATGGTAAGAAGAAAAATGGTCTTTACTTTGTAAATTCTCAAGAGCCAGTACTACCATTACACAAGCTCATATGTTAGAGAGCATGGTTCAAAGTCGCGGTATCGGGCAGCGATTCAGAGGGGCATTGAGACACATAAGTCTCAGTGTCGTGGCACAGTATCAACCAAAACGCCCAATACACTAGATAGAAGGCCCAAAAAATAATGAAAAAATCTAAAATATGTAAATATCATCATTTACGCATCATATCCCCAAAATATATTAGTTAATACATTAAACATAGAGAAAAGGAAATACAAATTTACGAGGGCATTATCGAAAAATATTTATAATCAATTTGAACGTAATAATTGTTTACATGTACATAAAATTTAATATAATAACATCGAATAAAACAGAATTTTACTAGAGAATAAAATAAAGTATTTAATAACACAAAAATGAAACATAAATTAATCAAAGAATAAAAAAGAAATTAAAATACTGAAAACCGAAATTAGAAGTGAGACATAAAAATAAGTTTCTTTTTTTTTTGGGTCAAAAACACATATTTAAGGACAGAGAAATGTGGTCCCCCTTTCACTCGTTTGGGCTTCAGTTTCTCTGTGTGTGTGAGAGAGAGAGAGTAGCGACTATGAGAAAGAAGAAGAGAGAAAGCAACAACTACAACTACGACTACAAGAAAAAAGAGAGAAACCAGTGACTGTGAGAGAGAGAGCAATGACTTATTTGGGCTTGGGTTTCTCGATCGTCGTTGTCCCAGCCTAAGGTTTGTGCAACTGATATACAAGATGTTGGTCTCTACCAGAAAGAAGAAAAGGGAAAAGAAGAAGAAGAAGAAAGTGATTCTTCCTTGATTTTACTGGTTTGTGTCACCAATTATTTGAATTCATTGATCTGTTGCAAAGTACCATATGGGTTCTTCAAGTTTCTGACTTCATCTCTTTTTTCTTTTTTTTTTTGTTTGACATTTTCTTTGTTGTATGAGAGGTGGGTTGTGTGTATCAGTTCAACTCATATGTGAATCGGCTAACTCGAATGAGATGAATCAATCCGAGTTAGTCCAAGTCAAAACCGATTCATTTTAAACTCGTGTTAGTTTGGTATCGTGTATCGTGTATCGTTATCGGTTCAGTGGGAGCTGAGTCTGNAGTCCAAGTCAAAACCGATTCATTTTAAACTCGTGTTAGTTTGGTATCGTGTATCGTTATCGGTTCAGTGGGAGCTGAGTCTAATATGACTTGGCTGAGTCGTATCGGACTCGGCCGATACTTTGAACCTTGTTAGAGAGATGTGATACTTCTGAGGAGCAGATTTGGCTACTACATCAAAGATTAGGAAATCCTCCATTTGCTTCATTGCAAAAATTATTTCCTTCTTCATTCTCCAAGATGAATATTTTTCAATTTCGTTGCAAAGTATTTGAACTTGCAAAACACCATTGTGTCATTTCCTATTAGTTTCAATAAAAGTATTTCACCTTTTGTCATTCTTCATATGAGTGTCTAGGGACCTTCCCAGGTTGCTAGTTTGTCTAATTTTCAATAATTTGTGACATGTATTGATAACGTGGGTTTACTTGCTCAAAGAAAAAAATGAAGTATTCTCTTGTTTCCAATATTCCACAAGATGGTACTTACTCAATTTAGTACGCAAGTACAAATTGTTCGTTCTAATAATAAGGGTAAGTATATTTGTAGGGGACTTCGATCCTATTTTACCTAGCATGATATTATTCATCAAGCAACTTGTATTGATACACCTTAACAGAATGGAATTGCTGAGAAAAAGAATTGTCATGTATTAGAAGTTGCAAGGGCCTTGATGTTTTCTATGAATGTTCCAATGTCATATTGGAGATATTTCATCTTTACATCAGCATACCTTATCAATAGATGCCTTCTCAAGTTCTAAACTTTCAGTCACCGGTTGATGTATTATCTTCTTTTCTTCCACTTTCTCTACTTTCTCTAACTGTTTTTCAGTTCCTCATTAGGTGTTTGGATGTGTTTTTTTTATTCCTGTAACTCCTCGGCTCCAAAGTAAGTTAGATTTTGAAGCAACCAAATGCATCTTTCTTGGTTATTGTCCTACACAAAAAGGCTACAAATGTTATCATCCTCCTTCGGGTAAAAAAAATTATTTCTATGGATATCACCTTTTTTGAAATAGTAACCTACTTCTCCCCAAACTTTCTCTTCAGGGGGAGAATCTAAGAGAAGATAAGCCTGAGTTTGTTTTCCCATCTGCCTCATCAGTGCCTTTCTTTTCATTGGAACAAGAGTAGGGCAATAATGAGGAACCGCAATAAGAAGAACAAATGGAGTTACAAGTTTATTCAAGAAGACAGAAGGATAAGACCATCTCTAATCTACCACCTGCTAAATGGATTCCTTAGGATTAGATATCCCTACTCTTGAGTTTGAGTCTGATATTCCCATTGTTCTTCGTAAAGGTGTTCGAACTTATACTCAACATCTCATATCTAACTTTGCATCATACATCACCTCTCACCCTCTTATCGACCTTTTGCATCATAATTGTCCTCTGTGTTTGTTCCTAATAATTTACAGGAATGATTCCAAACGGAAGGAAACAATGTATGAAAAGATGAATGCACTTCAGAAAAACAATACGTGTGAACTAGTTGAGTTACCTAAGGGGAAGAGGCCAGTTGGGTGTAAATGGATGTTCACAATGAAACATAAGGCTAATGGCTCGATTGAAAGATACAAGGCTAGATTGGTCGCTAAGGGCTTTACACGGGATTGATTATCAAGAAACATTTGCCCCAGTGGTAAAGATGAATTCAATTTGTGTCTTACTTTCCTTGGCTGTAAATCGAGGTTGTTTATATGGAGATCTGGAGGAGGAAGTATAAATGGATGTTTCACCAGGCTTTGAACTTCACATAGATGGTAGCAAGGTATGTATGCAAAAAAAATCATTGTATGGGTTAAAGTAGTCTCCAGCAGCATGGTTTGAGAGCTAAGAAGCATGGATACGGACATGGGTATTGTATCCGATACGATACAGACATGGAAATACGGCAAAATCTCAAAATATTAAACACGGGTACGGCGAGCATATGACTAATTAAAATAATTATATATATTTTTATATATATAACAACAACATTAATAATAACAAACAACCAAGACATAGCAAACATTACTTAAATTGAAATAAATCAAAGATTCAAAAACCAATTTTCAGTATTTAAAACTAGCAAGCAACAGCACACTAGCACAGAAGGCAGGAACACAGATGACTAAGACAAAAAAAAAATCCTGAAGGCAGCAACACAACAAATTGCCAAATTTTGGTCCTCTCAAGCAACACAAACCAAAAGATCCCCTCGAGCAACACAAACCACAAGATCCCCTCGAGCAACACAGTCTAGAATTTTGGTCCTCTCGAGCAACACAGCAACGCAGCAACACAGCAACACAAAAAATCCCCAAACTTTGAAAACCTTAACTCAATCAAATTAACCTAATCAAATTTTTTGAAAATCCACACAGACCAAAAGAAGTAAGGGCAGCAATAGCAGATCTGGAAAAAAAGAATTGAAGCAACAAGAAGAACCTGCAAGAGACTGGGCAACAATTGTAGATCCAGATCCAAGTCACAGTCTAGTTATTCTTGCTTCCTCTTCTCTCTCCTTCTTCCCCTAGTCCTCTCGAGCTCATTCTCTTCTTCTCTTCTTCTCTTCTTCTCTTCTCTTCTCTTCGCTTCTCTTTCTTTCTCTCGGACACACTGAAGTGTCGAAGAAGCTTCACAGATCCTTTTCCCTTTTGCCTTTTGTTTTTTCTTTTTCAAGCCAAACGACATAGCTTTGGTTTCTTTATTTTTTCGTTTCAGCCCCTTAAATTTTTAAAATAACAAAAATACGCCGTCATATCTTGTCGTGTCCCTCCCATGTCCTCCCGTATCCCCACGTATTCGAGCCATATCCAACTAAAACAATTCAAAACTAATATTCAGGACACTTCTACAAGTGTCGGACACGTGTCCGGCCATCGAACACGCGTATTCGTGTCAGACACGTGTCTGACACTGCCATTGCAACCCCTCAGTGAGTATCCGTGCTTCCTAATTTGAGATATTTACTCGAGCTATGTTAAGATACGGCTATAATTAGAGTCATGGTGATCATACTCTGTTAAACACTCTTCCCACAAAAAGGTGACTACAGTCATTGTGTATATTGATGATATTGTACTTATTGGCGATGATGTAGAGGAGATAGTGAAATTAAAGGCATACTTGGCTCAAGAATTTGAGATAAAAAGTTTGAGAAGTTTGCAATATTTCTTAGGCATTGAGGTTGCGAGATCTATACTGGACATATTCATTTCACAACAAAAATATGTGTTTGATCTACTTAAGGAGACAATATGTTAGGGTGCAAACCAATTGATACTCCAATCAAACAGAATCATAGGCTGGGAAAGGGTGTTGATGATACTCATGTAGATAAAAGTTGATCCCAAAGACAAGCTCATTTATTTGTCTTATACTCGTCTAGATGTAGCCTATGCAATCAGTGTGGTAAGCCAATTTACGCACTCACCTTGTGATTCTCATATGGAGGCGGTTCATCGAATTTTGAGGTATCTTAAAGTAGCACCTAGTAAAGGACTATATTCTTCTAAGCAAGATTATCTATAGGTGAAAGCCTATTCAGATGCTGATTGGTTTGGATCTATTACAATCAACATCTGGATACTGTACCGCTGTAGGAAATTTGGTATCATGGCGTAGCAAAAAATAGTCAGTTCTTACTAGATCTAGTGTGGAGATAGAATTTAGAGCTCACAAAGTATTTATGAATTATTGTGGCTGAAATCCATATTAGAGGAACTAGGTTTTAATTCTAAGAAACCGATGAAATTATATTGTGACAATAAGACAGGAATTAACATTGCTCATAATCCAATTCAACATGAACAGAACCAAGCATGTAGAAGTCAACAGACATTTCATCAAGGAAAATTTGAGTACTAACTTAATTTGTACTACATTTGTGAAAACGGGGGAATCAACTTGCAGGTATCTTGACAAATGGTGTGTTTAGTAACTGTTGGCAAGTTGGCCATGCATGATATCTTTGCACCACCTTGAGGTGGAGTGTTAGTAGGGTACTTTTGTCATTTTGATAGTTGATCTATAAATATAAGTGACAAAGGGAGAGAACCCTCTCTCTTCTCTTTTCTAGTATATTTCTTTCTTCTCTTTTTCTTCCTTCTCTTTACAATATTTCACCAAAAGCAACATTCATAATAGACTTAGAAAGAAAAGACCAACGCATACCTTGTGTATGACACCAGAAGAAATAGCAGATGCTGCCAAAGTGCCTCCACACTCCCACAAAACTGAGAGATAACCACGATCGTACAAGTATTCCATAACATCTTTAGGGTTCAACATGTCAAACTCCACTACTTCAACACCTTTAGATGCAAGAAATTTCTGGAAACTCTTCCTAGCACCTCTCTGTGTGGCAACTATTGTGGGAACCTCAGTGACATCCCAAAGGTTTGCTAACTCAGGAAGATTTAGAGTTTGCGACATTACAATACGAAGCGGAAAATGGCCACCTCCATGTCTTGCAGTAAGCCTTGGATCTATATTCCAAAGTTGAATTAGTAAACCATTGATAAGATTTTGACCATCTCCACCATTTGAAAGTAACAGCAAACAAAGATTCATACCATCTTTGCGCACAGTATTTCCTCCTACAATGACAGCATCACTTCTGCCCCGCAATTCAAAAACCCGAGTTCTTGACTTTCTACTGCTTATCCATGATGCATGTCCACTACTAGCAGCAATCTTTCCTGTCAAAATACTATAATATCTCAAATTTATAAAAATATTTATGGTCTCACTATTTATAGAAAGTCAATCAGGCTTCTCATCTGCCAAAAAAGGGAAAAAATGAAGAGGGAAAAAAAAAAAGAAAACTCGATAAAACAAATAAACTTATTCTTAATATCCCAATGCTCACCATCAAGAGTCATTGCGTACTTGAGAACAGAAAATGGCACTTGAGAGGCATTTCTATACAGCAACGGAGCATTGACAACGAGACAGGATTTCAAAGCTTCCTAAAATACACAATCTAACAATTAATTAGGAATATTAGACTTCACAACATAAAGCTTCAAAAAGTACAGCATAGGTGAGAAAGGTTGTGATGAAAGTGCACATATTATCAAGAAACTTATTAGGTTCGATAAGGGCAATAAAATAAAGAGGTTGATCAACAAACTTATGTTACCATTTATGAAATGTCCCTTTGGAAACTGCCCACTCAAGCTTTTCAACTAATTCACATTTTCAGCTATCTTACTGTATCTAAAATCTACATTCAATTTAAGCTGAATTTTTTAAAATTTTAAATAACCACAATGGCAACAATGCCGACATGAGACATCACGCGCCTAGTGTAAGCTCACTTGTTCTCTTGTTTTCCCTCTAAACTACGGAATGTTTCTCATGTATCTTATGACATCCTATTGCCTTGTCTTGACTAGTCATGAAATTTGGATTCCTGACTCCACTTGCAATCATTTCATACCATCAGTATTCCCTAAGATTTATGACTCTGATATATTAGGTGTGAAGAAACATTTCTATTTGAAATCAAGAAGGTGATCAAGAAGTCCAAATGGAAGACTACGTTGGCCACTTAACACCTCAATAACTCGATGGCCTATCTTTAACCATCAAAATTTCATCTTCCTTTCCTCTTAAGTTATTTGTAGTTGAAAATTCTCATGTTGGCAAGAAATTTTGTATATATTTTCATCTCTTAACTCTTTCCTTCTCTATCAAATAGTACTATCATATCAGTTTACATAGATACAAGGGGAAAAGATGCGCAGTGGATCTTCACTCACGATTATACACAAGGAATTTCTAGACACAACTTAGAAGAGGGTGAATAGGTTTATCAAAATTAACGCTCAAACAATCACCAATTTTATACCTAATCTATCACAGTCCCTAAACTGCAATTATTACATGAGATGTTCCGTAAATTTTTGAAAACCTTATATCCTTTTCCACAATACTCAGGTCATGTCATAGCCATCAACGTGTCTACATGTGTTAGCATGATATAGATTAATAATGGGCCTGCGGCAAGGATCAAAATATAGATTCGGTGCATATTTTTGGTCAGCTCGAAAATGGAAATGTTTCAGACATGTATTTGAACTACTTTGGCAGTTGAATAAAAACAGAAAAAATTTCCAAAATTTGTTTATGAGACATTGCTTAAAACACCTTGAAACATTGCAATTTTGATATCCAGCCACAAAACCGTTTTGGTTTGCATGAAAACGGAAATATTTTGATCATTTTGGTGGAAAAGAAACCAAATTTGACCTTTGGGGGCATAGGGTTACACGTGGGTGGTGTGCGGTGTGGGTATGGGTGTGGGTGTGGGTGTGGGTGTGGGTGTGGGTGTGGGTGTGGGTGTGGGTGTGGGCAAGGGTGAGAGAGAGAATAAATTAGACTATTTTTGTATATTAATTGTGATCTGCTATAGCGAATAGGAGGCTCTTTTTACAAAAGCAAAAGAACCCACACAATTTCAGAGCAACATAAATCAACTATATCTATACTATTAAAAAGGATCAAAATTTTGTTTCGAAACGTCCAAAACGAATCAGTAATGGAATCGAAATTCTAATACTTCAAAATGTTTCATAATGTTTCGAGTATTTTGTAATATTTCAACACAATTGCACAATTATTTTGGAATATTTCAAGGTATTTCAAAATATTTTGATATATTTCAACCAATATTTTAACAAAATAATTCTTAAACTATTTATTTTTTTCATTTTATTTCTGAAACAGGTCAAAATGTTTGCAAAATACGCCACAATGTTTCCATTTTTTAAGTGACCGAAACAATACACCGAAACGAAATTTTGGTCCTTGACTACTAATAAAAATGGCTTAAGTGAAAAACTTTTGATTTTCTTACTTATCCTTCAATAATTCTATAATGTCTACTTTATCTTTTATAAAGTGACTTAAGAGAAAAAAATTTGATTTCCTTATTTATCCTTAAAAAAATTCTATAATGTCTACTTTATCTTTTTTTAAGGAATTTTTTATTTTTTTATTAGTTGCATTAATTCAACTAATAAATTCATTGTTTGACTTTTACTTATCTTTTTTCAAACAATATAAATTCGATTCAAATCCGATTTGAACAATGTGATGCAAATCGGATTCAATTGTCCAACGAATTTTATTTTTCACAGTGCATATATGAATCCGTTAAAATAGATATTCATTTTGATCGGAATAAGTTAATTAGAGACAATTTTAATATTGAACACATGGATTTCTACTCAATTTTATTAAATAATCACCAAATTACATCATATGTTTGTAGGTATGTAGTGTATATCTAAATTTGCTAAAAACCAAATATTTGAATAGATTTAATAATCTATATACTACTTTCGAATGTCAATGCTTGTCAAAAAAACTTAATTGATAATACTGTCCTTAAAAAGATAAAAAAAAACAATAACACCTTATTGCAATAACTTCTTATTGGTCCAAGAAATCAGTAGTCATTCATATATTAATCACTTGCTTAGTTAAACATTATAGTTTTTAATTGCAATGCAATTCAACTTTTTGTTTTTGAACCTTATGCAATTCAGTTCATACAATCCAAAATACGGGAAAAATCTTGAACATAACAGTTACCTCACATCAGCAATGTCATTTTGTATAATCGTACACTAACAAGAGAACAAGCAGACAAGTGAACTCTATAAAATTCAATAATCATTTTTATATAAAGAAAATTGGTCCAATTTATCTATTTTTAATTGTTTTATTAGACAGTTACATTTACATTGAATATTTAATCCCAAAATACAATGGTAATTATTGGGAGTTACTATCAACTGAGGAAGCATGACTCTTATACAACTCTTGGAATTTCATAACTCTTAACTCATAATAAAACGGGTGAGAAGTTGGTTGGCCAAGTTTTTGGATCCTATAAAAATGCCTAAATATTCTAACTCCTCGGACCCTTCAGACTCGTGATTTGGATGGGCCTCTGGCCGAAGGTTTGTATTTTTTCATTGCAATTGCCACCAAAACTAATGCGATCGATCTGATCCTTGAGACACATTGAAAATTTGGATCATTTTTATCAATTGTTTCTACATTTTAATCTTAGTTTTTATCCTACAGAAGTACAGATTATAAGCAAAATCATTGCCATTAGTGGAAGTTTTGATGAATTTAGAACAGAAACATAAGTTATTGTCCGAAGAAGTTGTGATAACTACAGTTTTGCTTGTAGATTTTTTCCTACATATCTATGATAATTATTTATTATTTATGCAAATGATTAGCGATAATTTTCCTTGACCAACTGATTTAATTGATTCAATGGTTTTGCTAGTTAGATTCATCAATTTAAATTGAATGTGAGTTTTAGATGGAAGTTTGTGAATTACACATGCTTAGATGCTTTTATAATTCCCCCCCCCCCCCACCTTTATGGTTGGTATTGTTTATTTTTGGTGTTGTCTAACTAAAATTTCTGACATTGTTTTTCCATAGTCTTTTTGATTAATATCACTGCCCGATTAATTTGCAATCAGGGAATAGAGAACAACATTATTAATTTTTCATTATTTTTTTGTATACAGCTTAAGAAGCAAGATCAATTTATACAATTCGATACAAGAATTTGGTGTGCTAAACTAGCGTAACTATATGTATACCCATTTGAGATCAAAGGTTTAAGTCCCCTTCCCCTTCCTCTTTCCCCTCCCCCTCCCCCTCCCCCAAATTACAATTACAAAACTTGGATTGGATCAGCAGAGTTTATTATTTATTTGGGTCCGTCTGATATTGCATTGCAGNTTCCCCTCCCCCTCCCCCTCCCCCTCCCAAAAAGAAAAACTAAAAAAACTATATGTATTCCCATAGAGAAAATAGAGCCAAAGTTTCGCGTGCTTCTTAATTTCTTGTAGAGAACAAACTATTAATACATGTGGACCAAAAGATGCTTTTGTGGGTTCATGTAGTTTTCATTATTAAATTCTTTAATACTAACAACATATATGTTGTTACATTTGGACTGGTATTTATCTGTTGTGAGTAATAGAAGTCTTGATCATTAAAAGTTTAGTAAGCATGTATCTGTAATGGTATCTTCAAGCTATGATTGGTCATCGCAAGGTTAGGACTGCATATCTTACAATGTTGAGCCAATTCAGCTCTCCCTCTCTCTCTCTCACCCACTCACGCGCAAACATTTTGTTGAGGTGTAAATCAATGACACATTTTCAGATAAAGGTATATACTTTAAGCAAAAGTAAGATTATTGCTAGAAGTGCTGATGAAACTCTTTGAACATTGGACATTTATGCAGCCCTACAAGGGCAAAATATTGCAACCCCCCTTTCTCTCTTAGGATGTATTTAACTTGAGATGATCTTTGAAAGAGGTTGCTTATTGAGGTTTTTTTTTCTTTTTGAGACACTTTCTCCTCAACATTTTATAGATTTTATTACGAAAATATCTTGATACTTGAGGGCAACCTATCAATTGCTCCTTTCTCTATCAAAGGACCGGTAACATAATAATTGATTTTAGTGCTTGAGGCAACTTCTATGGCTGGATCACTCACTGCATTGACATGCATTAGCCATTATTGATGGATATAGTTTTTCTCAGATTTTTCTATGAAGAATCAATTATTCATATACTTTTGAATATAAATTAAGTATATTCATGTTGATAGAAAATGGACGTCACAGTACAAGAAAAGAATTTCCAAAATGACCTTGAAAGTTAATAAATGCTAGATAGAAAAAGATGGGTCTGGAAATTTTCAATAAAATGCCTGAAATGCCCAGCGTTTGTCCCAACGCCGAAAGCAAACGCCTTTAAAGACCTTTTTTCTTGGAGTGTCAGCAAGTATTGAACCGTTCTAGCTAAACTCTTCCATGAGTAGTATAATTGAACCTTTAATAAAATTAATTGGTACGTACTCGATGACAATTACAACTTGAATAATAAAACAAAATGAGCCTATTAGTGGGTCCTATGGTAGATATTGGGAATAAACATAAATTGATTGATTAATTAAATGTGCAAATATTTTCATCCCATTTCGATTCAAGGATTTTCTATTGGACTCCCTTTGGACCCTAGCTCACTAAGCTCAAGATCTGCTTGGTTGACAATTGTGACATGTTTCTTTTTCTCTGGCTTTGGCCAGCTTGTAATGAGGATTAGCTGTAGGAAGCTTCCAATGATGATCTGATAGGGAACATTATTTATGCGAAACTACAATGATAGTAAGCCTCACAATATGTATAAGAGATAAAGTTCCTTTCAAGAACATCTTATGAAATGATAAGAGGTAAAGTTATCTAATGGACAATTGAAAGGATGAAAATGATTTTTGATTTATTCACGCGTGCACCAACTAGAGGAAAAAAATGGTGGCAAGTCTGTAACTGCTTTTCAGCATATAGATTTACAGAAGTCAAGGAGGAACTGTTTGGCACGAATTTAACAATCCCATCAGAGTGATCCGATTATTTAGAGAAATAACCTTTTCATGATATGTTGAAATATTCGTGCCTAGGGAAAGCAAAATAAAACAAGCAACTGAAAGAGAAAAACCAAAACCAGTATTCCAATGAGTTGCAACCAGCAACAAATTTTTAGGTGAATTATGCAACAACCAGAAATGTACCTCAATGGTTTTACTCTGTAGCTCCTCCCCAATAACATCAACCTTCAGTCCTTCGCTTCTCAATGCACGGATAGCATCGCCCCGAAGATTTTCCAAAGGATGCCTGATCCCAACAACGACCCTACTAATTCCAGCCTAATACATAAATATCAGTTACATGTGAGTTTGGACTCCAAAATGCATCCCTGTGCATATTTTTTTTCAATCAGCAACAAAATTTTATGAATGATAAAAATATTACTAGGACCAGTATTCCATCAAAGAATATAAAAGAAGGAAAGGAAAGAAAGGTACAACTTAAAAGCATACGGATTTCCAATCTGCCCTTATCAAGAATAAAGGAATTCCTACAAAATGAGGAGACACCAAAGCTCAAAAGGACACCAAAAACCAGATTCTATCCCATAAATAGTTCTCCTCTTCGCAATTGCCTTAAAATATTCTTGCACTCCTCTCCAAGCTTTCTGGCTTTTTCCAAGACACCCTAAATCAATCTCAACCATTGCAATAATTGAAGAGGGAGGGATTGAAAACAAATCAAGTGTGTCAATATATGCAAATAATCTATTCCTTACGCCATAGCAACTGGACAGTGGATAAAAAGATGGTTCATATTCTTCTCACTATTCTTACACACGAAACATAATTAAAGGAGCAAGGAGAGGAGAGGTCTTCTTTTCTAAAGCAAAACATTAATATTAAGTCTTCCTTGAGCAAAGTTAGCAAACATGTAAGAGAAAACTTAAACTTTAAGAGGCACTGCTGCTTTCCAAATCATCTTATAAGGACCAAATTGCAGTAAACTAGAGTCATCAATCAACACATCAAACAAGTATTTACAAGGAAAAAACCAAGATGAAATAACAGTTGAAATATCAAGATGATAAAGTTTTAGGGTTTAGAATGTACAGGAGGTAAGAACGAAGAGAAGAAAGAGATTACGGTTAAGCAGAAAGAGACTTAACCTACCCATCCTCTCATCACCCATATTTATATTTGTTAGAGCTCTTATTTTATATTATTGGAAGTGTAAAGTAATAATAATATTACCGTTGTCAGTGTACTATAAATAAGAAAATATAGGGCAAAGCCGCCTATACACTCATCATTCTCTCTTTTTGATTGCTTTTCTTCCCTCTTATCTCTAACCCTACTATCACGTATACCATTTCAACTTGGTATCAGAGCAATAATCTGGGCAAAAAATAAAATTTTAGAAATAGCACAGAGGAAAAGAAAGAGTTTGAAAAAAAAAAGAAAAAAAAAATGTGCACAATTCATCGCTAACATTAGCACTGGCAACATTGACATGCTGACGTCAACACTCTGAGATGTCACCCACTAGAAGGATCAACTCATCAAGCTAGTGTTTATGGTGATTTTTGTTGAATTTTTTGAAGTCATCTGAATACCCTTCCCTATTTTTGAATGTTTTCCAAAACAATCGAACCAGATTTCTTTGATCCAACTGTTTTGCGACTTCCAGAGACTGGCGATGCTTCCTTCTCCCACAAAAGGATGCAACTAACCTACAGACATAATCTAAAAGAGACCCATATCAATTTGGGGTATTTGGGTTGGGTTCGAACAGCTCTGCAACAGTCGACAATTGTGTTTTGGACCACTAGACTTCACCAGTTGAACCTAAGACAGGAATGTTTCTAGTTTTTTTTTTTTTTTTTTTTTGGAGAGGGTGGTGGGGGTTGGTTTTGCTAATAGGAAGTATTTCGGATCTATGAATTATTTGAGTGNATTTTTTTTTTTTTTTTTTTTTTTTTTGGAGAGGGTGGTGGGGGTTGGTTTTGCTAATAGGAAGTATTTCGGATCTATGAATTATTTGAGTGTATGTTTAATACTAAAAAAGGCACTACTAAGCATTATGGCACCTTGAAGGGATTATAGGAAGAGCTTATATTGTACCAGCCACCGAGTACAGAACTAAAGATTCAACGGTGACAGTATGAGTAGTTTCAATTTGTGTTATTCTTGCCATGACTTAATTCTGAGTATGGTGTGTTTAAAGATTAAATTTTAATTAGTGAAATGCTCCCGACTGCTACCAATGTTTATTCTCGCCTCCAACGAGCTTCTCTTACCCATGGGCCTCCTTCATCTTCACAGAATTCCTCTACCTTAATCTCTAGTGATGGTGGTAGGGTGTTCCACGTGGTGGACATAGTGGTGGTCATGGTCGTCGTCATCCGACCCAAGGCAGTAGTCGTGGTGGTATAGGTACTGATCGTGGAGGCCACAATGGTCATAATGGTTATGATAGTCGCTCTAAGTGAAAATGTTCTTATTGTGGGACTACTAGACATATTGATAATTATTATTGGGATAAGCATGGGACACCGGCTTATGCTAATTAGGTCTTTGATGATTTGGCTCCACCTTCATCTTAACCATCTACTACTGCATCTATTGGACCTACGTCTGGCTCTCATAATGTCCTTACAACTTAGCTCAATCAACTCCTTCAACAATTATCAGTTTCTCCTCAATTGCCTACTTTAGCTGCTGGTTTAACTAATGCAGGTAATTTTGCATATGTGGTAGCCCAATCAACTTCACCTGGAGCATTGATTCAGGAGNTATCAGTTTCTCCTCAATTGCCTACTTTAGCTGCTGGTTTAACTAATGCAGGTAATTCTGCATATGTGGTAGCCCAATCAACTTCACCTGGAGCATTGATTCAGGAGCTAGTGCTCATATGCCTAGTATTTCCTTCTTGTCAAGGATCAAAATTTTATTTCGATACATTGTTTTAGTCACCTAAGAAACGAAAACCTTTCGACATGTTTCGGAAACATTTTGACCCGTTTCAAAAACATAACGAAAAAAAATAAAAAATTTAAGAATTATTTTTTCAATACATTGGTCGAAACATATCAAAATATCTTCAAATACATTGAAACATTCTGAAATAATTGTACAAATGCATTGAAAATAAAATATTATGGAACACCTCAAAGTATTAGAATTTTTATTTCATCACTGATTCGTTTCGGTATCCTTGAAAACAAAAATATTTAGGGTGTTTCGATCGTTTCGAAACGATATTTTGATCCTTACTTCTTTTTTTTAATTTCCGCTTTTTAATTCTCATATTGTCTTAGTTGATGGTTCTTTCGATTGGTGCATGGAACTAGTGATCTCTACCCCACTTAGTCTATACCCTTGATATCTGGTTTATTTGTTCCTCATTTTCTCTTTAACTTATTGTCTCAGAGTTAGTTGACTAAATCTTCAGTGTTCGATGACATTTTCTCCATTTTCTTGTATTTTTCATGGCCTCTTGACAAAGAAGATGATTGGCTTGAACCATATGCAGAATGACCTTTTTTATTTGAATTCCAGAGACTTAGTACCTGCCTTGCATATCCCCACTTCAATGGCATTTTCACTGGGTCATCCTTCATTGAAGAAGCTTCATCAAATTATTCTAAATTTGAGTCCTTTTCTGTTAGAATGTGAGACTTGCCAAGCTGGCAAGCATCACCGAAGTTCTTTTTCTAGTAGCAATGAAAGTCATCAGTCGAGTCTTTTTTATATTTGTTAAATCAGACATTTGAGATCCTGCAAGAATAAAAATGTCTTTATGGTTTTCAGTATTTGTGATTTTTGTGGATAATTTTTCTCGTATGACATGGTTATTACTGTGAAAGACCGTCCTGAATTGCACAAGATATTTGGTTCCTTATACAATGAATTCTAATACAATTTGATAAGCGTGTTAAAGTATTTCTATTTGACAATACTCTTGAGTATGTTCAATCATTTATGTATACAGTTTGTGCTGACCTTGGTATCATCCATCAAAGTACACGTCCACATACATCTCAGCAAAATGGGGTTGTCGAACGTACACATCACCATATTTTGGATGTTGCCCGTACCTTATTGTTTAAAATGCATGTCCCACAACCATATTGGGTTGATGTTGTTGTTACTTCGGTGCACCTTATTAATCGAACACTTTCTTCTGTCTTGGATAATCAAAACTTCTTTCTCTTTACTTTATCCTAGTAAACCTCCATTTGGCTTCGCTCCTCGTGTCTTTGGTTGCATTGTATTTGTTCATCTTCTTGGTTCAAATTAAACTTTCTACATGGTTGATCAAGTGTGTTTTTCTAGGATATTCTCATACTTAGAAAAGTTATAGTTGAAGTTTAGTTTTAAGGTTTAGAATAGAGAAGAGGGCAAGAGAGAAGAAAGAGATGGCAGAGATTAGAGAAATTAGGGTTTTGATGAATAAGAGTTACACATAACTCTCCTCTCATCACCCATATTTATATTAACTCATAATAGGCTACAAATTGCAATTATGCCCCTAATTAAAACATCCTAACATTCTACACTACCCCTTAAGTTAGAGCATAGATATCTTTCATGCTAACTTGCATACATCTAAATGAAAACTCTACTACTAAGCTCCTTAGTAAACACCCCTTAGTGAACACATCCGCTAATTCCTCCCTGGACTCACAAAGGGTATACAAAATAAACTCATCAGTTAGCTTCTCTTTGATAAAGTGTCTTTCAATCTCAATGTGCTTTGTTCTATTAAAGATACATGGGTAAATTGGCAAATGAAATATCTGAGCAAACAGCTACTCTCAGTAATCCAAAAATCGACTCGAGGATTTCCAAACTCTCTGCTTCAGTCTCATTAAACAAATGAACTAGAATGTAGAATTTTCTTGGCAATTTGGTTCTGAACTACACATGGACCTAAACATTTTCTACACCACCACGTGCCTTCTTACCCAATTGTCAGAATGGCATGTGACAAATGTCATATTGCCTATAGACAACTACTACCGATTATAAAGCTCCATAATAAGTTCCAAAAACTTCTTTAGCACTGCCATGACGTGAGGAACCAACACTTTCAATAGCCTTTTGTCCAGCAACATTAATTATAATTATATTTATACAATTCCAATTTTTGCAAATTCTTAGCTTCTCTTATTTCTTATATGCACAAACTACCAATGTTAGGTTGTAATTAGATGTTGGCTTGGCAAACTATCAGATAAAGAAAAGAAAACTGTTGCTAATTTGTGGCCTCGACATACTTAGAGCCATTTTTGCTATTGAGGCTAACGTCATGTTGAGAAGTAAGCAAATATCGGTTAGGATTAGAATGCATTGCAAGGTTAAAATAGGTATAGTACCCAAATTATGGCATGGAATCTAATTAAAGCTTATTAATTGTTTCGCCGAACTATAGTAATCCTTGTTTAGGATGATAACAACTGAAAATAAAATCTAGCTGATATTCATTTGTGTACCCTCATTTATAAATAAAAGCCAAAAGACATAATTTCTATTGAGTTTTAATTTTTCATTCTACAAATAGTAGAGTCGAAATAATTCAAATGACTTTTCTAAACCCAAATGCCTCAAATGACTTTGTAATCCAATGTTTTTTGACTTTTAATACTTGTTCATATAGTACATGAGAAGAATGTAGTTGTGCTCATTAATTTATTGTTAGAGTGAATAGTGTGTTGAATGCCGAAAACGGATTTTACGCAATATTTTATGGTTAAAAATTTCCCAAGATCAAATTCAAGTGGTGAACCAAACTTACCAATCCAAACATGGCATGGTCTTGGATTGGATTATATCAAAGGGCATGATGGTCAATTCTAGTCAAAGTAATCAAAATTCCTCAGTCATTCAAAGGCTTGTTATATGTGACCCACACTTGGCAAAACTAGTAGCCAAATGAAGGATTGGAGAAGATGCCTTCCCAGCTTGTAGCCGGCCTTCAATTGGATTGGCTTGCATGGAGTTGGCTTCAAAATCCAATCCCGTCCAATCCCAATGATATAGCCATACATGACGTATTACTCTATTAGGATTTCTCTACTAGACACCTTTCCAAGCAATCCTGCAAAGGTGACCCATCCTCTATCGTCATCACCTCTAAGAATAACCAGACCCATTCTAGAACCAATATTTGAAAATCTGGTCACTCTAAGACAATTTCCACTTCTATTCTGAATCATCTCAGCCCAAATCTATTCTGAATCATCTCAGCCCAAACATAATAAACCTCAGCTCTGAAATTTCAAAAGAATATGCCATTGCCCTACCATTTCAGAGCATCATTCACCATAACCCATAAACATGAACACAATCCAAACTAACTGATAAAGAGAAGACATCTTGGTTGCCCCTCTCTATGCTTCGAAAATATTATCAATTCATTTGGCATCCACCTCCACTCCGAAAAACTTACTGCTCAAATTTCACCTCATACACTATAGAGAACATCATCCATGTGCAATATTCATAACTAGAGTTAACAAAATCACAACAAAACCTAAATGTTAAACTCTAATGCATTCTTCCACCAACATATGCCTTTGCTTCAAGAACAAAAGCATTCATATGGCTCCATCACATAATCAACTAATAAAAAATGCGTTCACAATTCTGTTTTCATATGTTCTTAAGTGCTATTCTTTGTTTTCCTTGTCGGCTACGCTACTCTTCAACTTTTTCCCACAGAGGAAGCACAGCAATCCCAATCAACTTAAGTTCAACAAACAAAAGCTTCTTCTATTTATCCATTCGTTTCAACTCAAAATAACTCCCTAAACTTGATTTACAATGAATTAATCTTCCAGGAACAAAAATAAAAAAGAGAATTACACCTAGAACCCCTGAGGTTTGTCACTTAGACCCCTTGATATTTAAAATATTATACATAAACCCCCTAAAGTTTATACGCAGGTAACACTTAGACCCCTACCACCAATGTCCATCGGTTTATCCGTTAGTAAATTACACTCAGACCCTCTAAAATTTTTAGGCATATAATATTTAGACCTTTCAATTTTAAAATATTATTCTTAAACCAAAAATACTCTAATCAAAGATAGAATATTAAATATTTTAAATTTTTCAACCAAAATTCATGTTCTATTATATCATTTATTGAAATAAAATCAAAAATTAAAATTCAATCTTTTCTTAAAAAAATCATAATTAGTATACATTTATACTATCTATTGGAATAAAACTAAAAAACCAAACAAGGGTCAAACCATAATGGACACAATATCTTCTATCTTTAATTGAGGTAATTTGGTCATTTAATAAATTTCGTTAGTCTGTAACTAATAAGTGATCTAAGTGTAATATTTTAAACTTGAGAGGTTTAAGTGTTACACATACACAAACTTCAAGGGGTTAACGTGTAATTTACTAACGGATATACTAACAGATATTGATGGCAAGGGTCTAAATGTTACACGCATACAAACTTCAAGAAATCTGTGCATAATATTTTAAATGTTAAGAGGTCTAAATAATTAAGTGACAAACTTCAATGGGTCTGGATGTAATTCTATCAAAATAAAAATAAAGCGTATGAAGCACGTTTTCTCTGTACCTACCTCCTTTGCACCCGGCCATGGATCAAAGTCTACTTCTTTCTGGTTCTCCTCCGGCACAGGAAAGTAGGTTTGTGGCTCTCCATCTCCTTTCTTGACCTTATGAACAAAAACTAACAAAGGAAAACAATACGAGAAAGGAAACACCTCAACAATGACTATGTCTCTATCACACATCTGTCATGACCTATTTTTCATTTCTTTTGTTCCAATTGTTCGCAAAATAATGGGGGTAGCCCTCCCCATGCCTAAACCCATCCGACGAGGCAAGATTCAATATAAGGTATGTGGGGCGAAGAGCTATACACTACAACAATGTAAGATCAGCTAGCTCTATCTAGTCCACTCTTTAATTAACAGGATTTCATTAGATTGAAATGACATTTTCCTTCAACCATTTTAGTTGCTGGAGAAGGAATGCACAGAATGAGGTCTTGAATTCATCTCACCATCTGATTTGGCCAATTAATTTGCATTTTCATATATCCAAAAGCTTTTATTGTGGTTATAAAAGATACATTTGAATGTTCAAGTAGTAATGGCATGGTTCACAAGGGTGCAAGTCTAATTTATCCTACTATCAATTGCATTACAAATTAAACATTATAATAGTACAACCTATGCTTTCGAACAACAAAAATTGTACAAATTTTAGCTCAAGAAAACCTATATCTACAATTTCCCACATCAATTTTGTCGATACTTGGTCTTTCACCAAAAAAGCCAAACAACTTTCTCATAGAAGCTCCATAACAAAATAGAAAACCATTGACAATTACTTTTCCAAACAAATTAGGGATCATTGTTTCAATTGTTAGCCGAGGCCAAAAGAGTTAAAAAACCTTACCCTGATGAGGGCGGACACACCTGTTTGATCTCCATGGCAATCACCAGGTTCCATATTGATATAAGCGGTGGCGCCTTTACACCATGCGCCGGCGGCCTCCACAGCCTGCAATTCGGCGGCCTTGGTACCCTGCGCGTACAAATAACCCTCTCCGACCACTCCTGCATTGCCGGGACTGACAATCACACAGCCGAAGTTCGGATGTGGGGCAGTGAACCCAGCAGATTTGTCTGCTAGCTCAGCCGCACGTTTCATGAACTTTGCGTCCACCGTGTGGGATGGGGAGGTACTGGCATTATTGTTGTTGCTGTTGTACACTTTAGAATTGCTGATAATGGAAGTAGAAAAGGCTCTCAATGAGAAACACATTGCAGATTGCACACACTTTCCTCTTCACTCTCTCTATGCCTACACTTTATATATCCTATCTCCAACCTTCAGTTGTACTTTAATTATTTTATGGCTTAAGAATCAAGTTAGCCACACTAGTTGACATCTCTTTATACTAAAAGCTAATGGGTGCTCAATAATTAAGAGTTCACACTTCACTATTTGGTAGCATCTTCAATCATGCTTCAATGTCCCTGAACCATAACAATCACAAATCAAATTAAGTTCAAGGAAACCAACAACAATATAAGAATAAAGTCAAAAACAAATAAATCACAATTACACTGATAAAATAAAACCCTAAACCATTGATGTGAAAATCACTAAACTTATTAAATAAACACCCTCACCCACACTGTAGATGTGCCAAAAACCAACTAAAGCAATTCGACATTAATTCCCAATCCAACATACTATTTCAAAACAAAAAATAAATTATTACCCATTACGAAACCCTAACCATAGATATCAATAATCAATACAAACACTGCCATTTAAATTCAAATCTTATCTCAAAACCACATATTGTATTAAACACAATTCACATACATCCATATACACCTATATATAGATACAAATATAGAGAGAAATTAAAGGCAATGATGTAGAAAACTGACACTTCTGGGGATAACGACATAACCTAAAGATGCCGCAACATGAGCGGATAAAGACCGAGACTCCAGAGCTACCCCTGTCTCTTGTCCCCCAAGTCTCACAGCCTCTTCTATACCTGTATTTACTGTTCCAATTGAAGAACTTATTCCAATTAAGACAAAGTAATTGGTAAATTTCTGATATTGGATAATTATCAACAATCGAAGTCTGGGTGCGCACGCCGACTGCAAGTTTTTTTATGGGGGTGTGTGTGTGTGAATTTAGACAGGTGGGTGTGTTAAATTAAGTGTGTGTGAAGAGGTGGGCAAAAAATTAAATGGTCGGTGCGCGAGAAATTGGATGGGTGCGGGGGTGAAATTAAGTGGCTCGGTGTGTGAGAAATTGGATAGGTGTGTGGCTTCGGTATGTGTGTGTGTTTGCACAAAGAAGGGGGGAGGGGACGGGAGGGAGAGTGTGGGGTTTGTGTGGGTGTGTGGGTGCTTGTGCATAGAGAGGGGGTGTTTGTGTGTGAGCGTGCAGGAAGTGGGAAGGAAAGAACGGGGAGGAAGGGTGGGGTGCGTGTTGTGTATGTTTGTGTGCAGAGAATGGGTTTGTTTGTGTCGAAGTGGATGGGGGAGAGAGACCAACCTTAGAGAGAGTTGCCGGAGCTCGCTGGAGTTGAAACTGGGCCACCATGGAAGAGATAGGGAGGAGAGAAATTTTTGAAACAAGGGGTAAAGAGAGAGAGGGACAGATAAACGATTGCTGTTCAGGGTGAGACCATCTTTAATAGGAATTTGAATTCTTAATTAAATTTGAATAAAAAAAAGGTAAAAAACTTGATATAAACCTATTTTGGGGACACGTTGTTTCAACGTAATTATTGAATTAATTATAAATTTTAATGTTAGATGAACTATCAATCAATTTAATAATTGTATATCATAAAATCCCTAGAATAGATCCTCAAATTATGTCAAAATAGTATTTTTCTTTTAAGAAACTTAAATTTTAAAAAAAAAATTAATAAAAATAAACTTAAATTTAAAAGAGGATAAAATATAATCATTTAATCTTCAAATGACGGTGAAATCTCATTTTTGGTATAAATTTGAATCTTTATTGATTTGAGTAAAAAAAATAGGTCTATTGATTTAATATGGATATGAGTTTAACATTAAAAAAAAAATTTAAGAATTTTATACTTAAATTTAAATTTTAGTTTAAAAAATGATAAAGATTTGAGATACACTAAGAAAGACGGAGAAGGGTCTTGCTGTGTTTTTCCTAATAAAATCATTATTTTAAGCATTGATTTGTCTGCTCACATTAAGAGAATAAAATATAGGTTAGATATAGGCCTTAATATAGAAATAATAAAAGGGAAAATTATAAGGGAATATACAAAATTAGAGTTATTAGTCAAAAAGTATATAACTTTTAATGTTAGGTCATTAAGTCCTTATTTTTATCACTTAATTGTGTTCAAGTATACAATTTAACTTTTTATGATATTCCTTTGGTATATTTGTCATCCCTTAAATTTTGCATAATTCTTTTGGCAATTAAGTTGATTTTTGATTTTTTTTTATTGTTTTAAAGATTTCCTAATATAATTGAAGAATTATANATCCCTTAAATTTTGCATAATTCTTTTGGCAATTAAGTTGATTTTTGATTTTTTTTTTATTGTTTTAAAGATTTCTTAATATAATTGAAGAATAATATNAACTTTTTATGATATTCCTTTGGTATATTTGTCATCCCTTAAATTTTGCATAATTCTTTTGGCAATTAAGTTGATTTTTGATTTTTTTTTATTGTTTTAAAGATTTCCTAATATAATTGAAGAATTATATTATCACAAAAATTGCATCTGACATTAATTGTGTATATCTCAACCATTTTGAATGTTAAATGTTTTTGTCATTGTTGTTGCCAGTAAACATATATCTCTTTTTCTTCTCCAAAATACTAACCATTATCATTTGGAAAAGCTCAAACATAACATCCTTCTTATTCTCCAACGTTCAGACATCATCAGGTTTGAATTTATGTCTTCATTCGATTTTTGTTTAATTTTTTCATTTATACTACTAGTAGTTATTCTAGAGATTTATTTTTTCACAGTTTTCGTATTTGATATAAGAGCATCACAATGGATGGTGTTGTTCTAGGGCATTATTTGTCTTTTTTCGTTACTCTTTCATGCATAGACATTACTGTTTTGTATNCATCAGGTTTGAATTTATGTCTTCATTCGATTTTTGTTTAATTTTTTCATTTATACTGCTAGTAGTTATTCTAGAGATATATTTTTTCACAGTTTTCGTATTTGATATAAGAGCATCACAATGGATGGTGCTGTTCTAGGGCATTATTTGTCTTTTTTCGTTACTCTTTCATGCATAGACATTACTGTTTTGTATTTTTTTTCCTAGTTTTCGTTTTAATCTAGGAACACCATGTTGGATGGTGTTTTCATGTACCAAAACAGTGTTGCAATACAGTGTTACAATAAAGTGTGAAATAAGTTGAAGTGCATTTTTAACCTAAAAATATATCAGAGAATATCATCCATGTGCAATATTTCATAACCAAAGTTAACAAAATNAAGTGCATTTTTAACCTAAAAATATATCAGAGAATATCATCCATGTGCAATATTTCATAACCAGAGTTAACAAAATACAACAAAACCTAATGTTAAACTGTGATGTAAGTCTTCCACCAACATATACCTTTGCTTCAGGGTTCTCCGAGACATTTTAGGGCCTAAAGATGAAATGATAAATGAGGCATTTTTATTTTTAATATTAATAATAAATTTTATTTTTAATTTTTTTAAATACCAAAATATTAATTAAATTTTTATATTCAAATTTTTGTTCTCATATTTGAACTTAATGGTGAGATTGAAAAAATGATAAGTTTAAACTTGACTTTTTTTAGGGTTAAACTAGATTTTTTAGTAGCTTTAGTTTTACATTTAGTTTTTTTTCTCTTTATTTAAAAAAATAAATTTTAGGACCTTTTAATTTTACAACTTAATTAATAGGCCCAATTTATTTAAGTTAAAATATTTTATTTAGGCATTGATTGAAATTTTTTGTTTGAACTATTATCGTATACTTATAAATTATGGGGCTTCCTTGAAGTGAGGCTTTAAATTTTTTTCTGATTGGATTTGTATTTTTATAAGGCCTTTTAGTAAGACTTAAAATATTTTTAAATTTAATTTTTTTACATGAACTATTTATGATATTTAAAAATTTAGGGTCTTCTTTAAAAATGGAGCCTAAAGCCCAAACTTTTTTGATAACACTGTTGAGCTGCCCCTGCTTTGCTTCAAGAACAAAAGCTTTCATATGACTCCATCACATAATCCGTTCATAAAAAATGCATTTGCAATTCTATTGTCAAATGTTCTCAAGTGTGATTATTTGTTTCCTTGTCGGCTTTGCTACTCTTCAACTTTTTCTCACAGAGGAACCACAACAATCTTTGTCAACTTAAGTGTAACAAACAAAAGCTTCCTCTATTCGTCCATTCATTTCAACTCAAAATAACTCCTTAAAATTGTTCCAATGAATTAATCTTATTGGAACAAAAATAATGGGGGGAGCCCTCCCCATGCCCAAACCTTTCCCACGAGGCAAGATTCAGTATAAGGTCTATGGGTCAATGAGCTATACACTGCAACAATAATGTAAGATCAATTGGCTCTATCTAGTCCACTCTTTAATTAACAAGAATTGATTGGGATTAAAATGAAATTTTTCTTCAATCATTTTAGTTGTTGTAGAAGGAATGCACAAAATGAGGTCTCGAACTCATTTCACTGTCCCATTTGGCCAATTAATTTGCAATTTCATATATCCAAAAACTTTTATTGTGGTTGTATAAGATAAATTTGGACGTTCAATTAGTAATGGATGGTTCATAAGGGTGCAAGACTGATTTATCCTACTATTAATTACAATTTAGGGATCATTGCCTAAAGTGTCAACTGAGGTTAAGAGTTTAAAAACCTTACCTTGATGAGAGTGAACACACCGATTTGATCTACATGGCAATCATCAGGTACCATATTGATATAAGCAGTGACGCCTTTACACCACATGCTGGCAGCCTCCACAGCTTGCAGGTCGCGCGGGCTTGGTACATTGCGCATACAAATAATCCTCTTTGACCACTCCTACATTACCAGGACTAACAATCACGTAGCCGAAGTTTGGATGTAGGGTGGAGAACCCAATGAATTTGTTTGTTGTTATTGTTGTTGTAGCTGTTGTGCATTTTGGTCTCGCAAATAATGGCACTAGAAAAGGTTCCTAATGAAAAACCCATTGCAGATTGCACACACTTTACTCTTCACTCTCTCTATGCCTGCACTTTATATATATCCTCTCTCCATCCTTCAGTTGCAGTTTAATTATTTTATAGTTTTTTTTCTTTTTCTTTTTTTTTTTGAAAAAATTAGAAGCACAAACAACGTTGTTTTGGGCCCTTCTTTAGCGGTAATACAAAAGTGTGTAAACTATAAAAATGAGTCAAAGTAGATTTTCCAACACTAGTATTTCTGCACAATAATTCTACCAAAGGCTATCCTATTACTGGAATAGCTTTAGGTATACCTGTTAAAATTTTCACTGTCCAATAACCAATTTGGTCCCGAGGTAAAGAATAACTAGTTACGCCAAATCAAAACTAGATGCAACACGCTACTTCTTCTTCTTCTTCTTCACCCCCCACCAACGCCAAGCTTACTATAAATGAAAGAAATTCCTTTGTCTTTCAAACTCAAGAACATCCCACTCGAATTCACATTTCTTGTTGTGAGTGAAAAAAACTGTCTTAGAAACCCTAATTTATTGTTCTTCCAAACTCACCAAGTTAATGGCTTGTTTACGGCTAAATTGATTTTGAAATTAAAGTGGACTGCTAGGCATTTTAGTGGCTGAACCAACGTTTTATGCTCACCAAGATTCATATACTTGCAAGAATCATTTAGGTGAGGTATTTTGCTACCCAATTTTCCCCAAAAACTTGACATATGTTCAATTTTTAAAGTCTCAAACAAATTTGTTTTGTTCATCATATATTTATATTACATATGTATTTTTTTTTTTAATTTTAGGATATAATGGAGTCTTTAGGGGTTAATGTGACAGAGAATACCCCACATATTGGTATGCAATTTAATTGTGAAGAAGATGCTTATTTGGTTTACAACAATTATGGAGGGTCTATGGGAGTTAGCGTGAGAAAAGATTATCAGAATAAATGTTTGAAAATTGATGTTGTTATTTACAGAAAATATTTTTATTGTAAACAAGGTCAAATGGTTCAAAATAAAAGAGATTAAAAAATAAGGAAGTCTCGAGAAGAAATGCGAACGAATTGTTCAATTCATATGTGTATATCTCTTAATATAGAAATTGACAAATTTATTGGTGAAATGGGATGACAACAACAACCACATTTGCATCATGTCGAATGTATGCATATGATGTCATCTCAATGGAAGGTTGCAAGAACACAATGCATTATTATTGATATGGCTATGGACTATCGGATATTGCTTAAGGCATCCTATAAACTTATGAGTACTCAGATGAGAGGAAGGGAAAACCTAGGGTTCACTCATCAAGACAAAAAGAATTACCTCCATGAAAGGAGGCAAGGACACTTGAGGTATGGTA